CTTTGCTTTGTTTCAAAATGATAATTACAAACGAAATGTTGCATTCTGTTTCTGAAGGCGGCTTTGGGTGACAGATGAGCTAAAGGGAGTTGCTGAAAGCCAGCTTGGTAAGGCAGCCCATCCAGGACTTTCAGCATGAAACTTTCGGACTGAAGATGCATCTCCTTTCTGATGAATCTTCCCTTTAAGACGCATCAAGATGCATCTTCCCTTCCATCTCCTCCTCCTTTCCTGATGCAGCTTGGAGAGTGAGGACAGCTTGATGCTCCTCTTGCCTGATGCCTCTTCCCCCGTTTCTCCTTCATCCTGGCTCATCCAGCTGTTACCTCTGCCAGCCTCTGGCTGAGACCCTACCACTACTGAGCTCAGATCTCTGCAACACTCATTTTGCATCTCTTAAATATTAGGACTATTGAGGGATGTTTGACCGAGAGAGTTTGGGCTTGAATTACAAGGTGGTTCGTCATGGTTAGAGGTGGTGAAGGGTGAGGTAACTCCTAGCATGTGCAAACTGGGTTACCTACACAACTGAGGACCTTAATGCATCTGAATCTACCCGAGAGGTTGCTGGCAGCATCAGAGATAATTCACCAAGCGAGAGTCAAATCCTCCTGCAGTCACAAACAGCTAACTCAATGTACAGAAATCCCACCCTGTGTTTATGTGTGGGCTTGAGTTTTCTGGAGGTTCTGGTGAGTCAGTATTTTTCAACTCATTAAAAGAATTTATTATACTAAAAGACATAATATGCTTAGGCAAGGCAAGCTGTTTCACTGACCAGGATTACCTATACGCTCACCAGGATCCAACTGCTCAGCAGAAGGGGCTTTCAAAGCAACAGTGCTAAGAGCAAAGGGGAAAGTCAAATGACTGCGCAGAAACTGTCAAGGCCAGGTCCTTTCTCAAGCCATGTGTCAATGATGTTTGCTCAGTGATACATGATAAGCTCATTAGAAAGTGGAGTTAAATGGTAAAAAGATTCTTCCACACAAAGATATAACAGCTCATGTCACCGTTGAATAAGAAGTGACAACAGCATATATTTTAAAAAGAGCATTTTTTTAATTCTAACTAAGTGTTGACAAATACATGCCCCAGTTTTTGGGAAGACTGATCATATTTTTAGTCCTCTAAACAGAATAAAGATTATCTCTTTCCTCTGTCATCAGAAATTCTAATTCACTGTTGGCCACTACTGTCAATGACGCTTCTATTCAAAGCACCCTTCAAAGCACCCAACTGGGAATCACTATAGTGTGGAAGTACAGAGGTGATAAACCTTACATAAGGACAAAAGAGCAAATACATTAGGTCAGATCCATCCACCCAAGCATCCTCTCTCTGCTAACTGTCACTATAGGATGCACAGGGAGGGAGCAGAGACCCAGGACCATGTTGGGTAGTTATTTCCTCAGTGAGTCCCCTGCCTCCAGCACCAGGCGGCTCAAGGACTTTTGGTTGAATGCTGTTCTGCATCGCCGTGGCTCGGAGAACATTCTTGTCTGCCATGAATGTGTTTCACTGCTTTCTAAACATCTTCATACCTTTGGATTCCACAACACGCTCAGACATCAGGTTCTAAAATTTAATTACACGTGTTGGGATAATCTTTCCTTTCTTGATTTTAAACCTCCTGCCTAACAGTTTGATTTGTTGATTGCAGATTTCTTTGTTTTAGAAAATAAGGAACAGCTGTTCCCTACTCGCTGTTTCTGTGTCATTTATGATTTTACAGGGCTTTTGCAGTCTTTCTCCTGTCAACTGTCTTTTTTTAAAGTTGAAGAGAAGCAGTTGAAAACTACTGATGCAGTTTATTTAGCTTTTCTGCTGTGCCCCCTCTTCCTTTTATCCTTCTTGTGAGTCTTGATTTTCCGTGGCCTCTGCAAGCCCTATGGCATGTGTTCACCTTCTAATGCTTAAAAAAAAAAAAAATATTGCTAGCTTTATGTCTTTACTAAGCTGTTCTTCAAATAAAAAAAACTTTGGCTCATTTTATTATGGTTTTACATTAACTTGCCAAAGTTTATTTTCCTCATTTGAAAGATATCTTTTTAGGTTAGTGGCTTTTTTTATGCTGCTCTATAAAATAGCAAGAATTATTTCTGACCATTTAAGGTTTTCTAATAATTTTCCAGAGTTTCTAATTCAATGTCTTTCAAAAGTATCTGAGGCACTTTTAATTCTATCTCCCTCATAGACATTCCTTTTAATTTCTTTTTAACTAGCGTGCTTCCCCCCTCCCCCCCCCCATTTCTGTTTAAACTTTATCAGAGTTTTTAGGTTTTTTGCTCCTTTGTTTTTAGTTGTTTTTTTTTTCCCCCTAAGAGGAGGGGATATTTTTGTTTGTTCTTCCCACCTCCTCTATTAATGTCACTTTCATAGTCTATTATTGTCACTTTTGTGAAGCAGCTACTTGATCGTTGGACCAGATCTCCTGAACTGTTCCATACAAAAGTTGCTTCCCCTTTTTTATATTCTCTGAAGAAATGACCACTTGCACTATCTGCAAATATCCCTTTGTAACATGTACTAGTCGGCATGGGAGTAAATAAAGCCTACTTTTATTTGTTTTGTGTCCTGACAGAGTAATATCACTTAGTGCTTGAAAGCCTCTCTTTCTGTCTAAAGGTGTCTCAGATCAGAACCCTAATCACTTCCCCCTGGGGGAAAAAAAATCCTTTTTTCTTGCATTGCTATTTTTTAATATTAGGAAATGAAAATCTGAAATCCTGTGAAGCTAGAAAAGTAGGAATAGTAGTGCACAATGCCTTTAAAAGAGAAAGCACTAGGATTTAAATAGGGTTTTTTTTTTTTTTTGGCAAATGAAGATATATGCATAAAATGCATATCCTGAGCATGCTGACAGGAACAGAAGTGGTCAAGCTTTTGAGCACATGGAAGGCTGTTTTTCAATATGTCTGCTTTATTCAGAGTCTCCTTAAAATATGCATGCTGACCTGACCTTTCTGCTAACGCCAGAAGTCCACTACAAGAGCTCAGTCTAGTAGTTAAATAGTGTGATACATTATTAGTTTTCTGCAGAAATGGGCAAGACCTTCAGTAATTCACCAAAGCAGCTCGAATGATACATGATTAACCATTTATTTCATTAACACTGTATTTCTTCCTTCTCACAAATGAACTACAGATTGTTTTGTACCGTGTTGCTACACATGTGGTTATCATGGGAACATATTTCTATCCACTGATAGCTTATGAACTACTCACAGGGGTAGTTTTCCTTTCACTACTCATTATTTATGGTGAATGAGCTAAATCACCTGGTGCTGCTTTGACTCCACAATTGAGTGACTGAAATATTTATAGACAAGTGGAGGGACAGCAGAGTATTAAGCTGGCCAAGAAGCCACAAGTATAATAAATGCTAGCGCACATGCATTGCAAAGGGAGTCATGAAGGCATTGCTGCTTGTTGCAATGAGAATCAGAATCTGCTGAAAGGGAGCCCTAAGATTTTAAATAAATAAAATACTACATGATCTATCTTCTTTTTCTGCATACAAGTTGGGCAATACAAACTTTTTTTTAATAGCAGATGATTTCACAAAGAAACAGTGAGACATTTAAAGAGGTCTCCAAAGATTAAGAGAAATCTAATGGTATTGCAGCTGGATGCCCATCTTACATGAATAAATATAATTCTGCCCATGGCATCAGTGCTGGACTGATGCTGGTTTACACAGGACTGGGACTTAGCCTGGAGCAGGGAAGTATTTGTCTTCCTGCAGTGTTGATGGAAAGATCAGATTGCAGAAGAGCCAGTTCACAAACGCTGCTGCGTGGAAATGATGGACCTCTGCATGGACCCTGATACAACATCTGTCAATGCACAGAGAGTGTCTAAGCTGGAGGAAGCACAGAAAAGGAGGCACTAACAGCACTGGAGATCTGTATAGCAAGTAAGTGACCTCAGATGCTGAGCTGCATCCCTCTCTTCAGCTGAGACCTGGGGCAGGCAGGTCTTCACCTGCTCTGGAACCTGCTGCCCCATGGGAGACACAGCTGTCACCCTTGTGGACCCAAACATGCATACTAGAATGTTTTCATTAGCAGAGGCCCCAAAGACAGAGGACTGCAGACCCTTAGTGCATCTAGGCCGGAAAGCCATTTTCCACAGTGATTTTCCACAGCAGTTTCCAACCAAGAGGTGCTGACACTTCAGGACTGATCCCCCTGTGTCAGCCAGGGCTTTATCCCAGTAAGAAGGCAGAGTCCCGAGGCTTAGGTGGGAGCACGGCTTCCAAAATGGAAACCTAGGCCTCAACTGAAGCTCTCCAGAGAGAGGACACTGACCTTCCCATAGGACTTTCCCCTTATTTAATCGCCTCCATTGCTAAAAACCTTACAGGTTATTTAGGCTGAATTTCGCCAGCTTCAGCTCCCAATCATTAGTTCTTATTATGCCTGTCTCCATTAAATTAAAGAGCCCTTTAGTATCTCGTATTTTCTCCCCATAAAGGTACTTACACACTAATCAAGTCATCTCTCACTCTTCCTTTCTACAATCTAAACAGAAAGAGCCTCCTCAGCCCTTCACCAGAGAACATTTTTCTCCACTCCTCAGATCATTTTTACAGCTCTTCGCTTTAGCTTCCCCAGCTCCTGCACCCCTTTACAAACACAAACATCAGACAGGTACCTCACAATCCAGCCTTGATTGCGGCACTTGCACATGAAGAGAAGAAACCTTTCCCCGCTCTTGCTCACCCCAAAGCGAGCATTAACAACACACACACCAGACCACGTTAACTCACCGTGTGCCAGCCACTCATGCTCAGTCCCTTGCCCACGGTGTGCCTCAATCCACTCTGGGAGGCCCTACTTTCCAGAAGCTTCTCTGTAGCTGTTAAATGCGTAAGTCCGCCCTGGGCCTTCCATTGGCAGATGTAAGTGGGCCCAGGTGATGCCAATTCACTCCAATAACTGCTCTGTCAAATACATTGCAAACAGCTGCTTTGCTGAGGCACTATATCTTAGACCAAGCGCTGGCCTCAGTAAAGAGGGATATTAGACCTCTTTGATAAGATGTAACTGCTATAGGATGAGGTGAGTTAATTTTTTTTTATTTTATAGGTGTCTTTTCTTCAATCTGCAGTGGTTCTTCTATTTTGCTTAGGATTTATGCCCAGTTCACTTGCTCAGAAGTATCTGTGTTATTTTGTTACCCTGTTTGAATATGAGCCCATCAATATTCTGATACATATTAAAAGATCCACATCAGAGCTTAGAGACATCTTCCACCTGACATTTTAGGCCACTGAAGTGAGAGGTATTCTGACATTAAAATGCTCAGATCTAATTGATGTTGCTTCATGTTATTCTAAAATACTAAGGGACAGAAAAAAATACTTTTGCTTTCCTCAGTGTGTATTTGCACTGAGAGATTCAGTGTCCCTTCAACGTGAATGTTGTTCTGGGGTTCAGAGGCATATCCAGTTTGGGCACCTGGGAGGGAAGGCAGCTAAGCTGAGGTGTCCTAAATGTGATTCTTGATTTCTTTCTCTATAAAGCAAGGCTGATCTAGCTGAGTGTGTGATAAAAACCTATGTCAGAACAGGTTCACATGAGGGTGGTGGTGCTGGGGCTGAAACTATGAAATGCCTTGCTGATTCTCAGGCAAGCTCTCAGGAAGGGCAGGGCTTTCAGGCAGGTCTACTGGCTCAGTCTTTTCCAAATTCTTTCTCTCTCTCTTTCCCCTCAAAGAAAAGTGTATGTTTGAAAAGCATTTGTAATCATCATACAGCGCAGCACATTAGCACACATACAGCTACAGTCCTGTCTTTGTAGTGATAAAAGTATACTGTTGCTCTTATGTTTTCCCTATAACGACAGCGGCAAAAGAATATTAATGCCTGGCAGCCTAGATGTAAGGATACAGCATTTTTTTACTACAAATATGGGGTAAATACAGTGACTTTATGGAGCCTGTGGCTTATACTGCTGGATTAGAGGACAACACGGTCTTCATCCTTATGTCAAGAACAAGCCTGTGGGAAGAAATGGTGAATATTGTAGGTATTATAGACTCCAATTAGCATAGAACAATGTGATACAGCAAGGTCTGCACTGACCACACACACAAATTAGAAAATTAATATGTATGATGCTGTGCTTTATGCAAGGCTGGCATCAAACAACCCTGGAAACAGACGAGCAGGAGAAGGGAATATCACGACAGAGGAAAAGAATGAACTCTCAGACCTCAGGATCTGAATGCTGGGCCAGAAAATTCGCCGGCTCTGGGAGATGCTCTCTGGTTGTCTCGGGATATTGGAACACCCCAGACCTCAGTAGGTACCAGATCTGAGGGTAATAACTTTGTTTTGTGTTCAATGACAAGGCCGCCTAGAAATCTGTAAAACCAGAAATATCTGACTTGATACTCAGGTACAAGCCATGTACTCTGCAGGCCCAGACCCTTGGCCTATGTATTTGAAGGGGATGGGAGCACAGCAGGAATAAGGGAAAACTCAGTAAGGGATATGGAAAAATGCATCCCCCTACCCCAGTTGTGGTTGTCTGTTCTAGGATTTCTTTCAACATTCTGCAGCAAATGGAAAATGGTGGCAAGAGTTATTTGGATGGGTAAATATGGGTATTTTTTAGGGCCTGCAGCAAGATACATCTACATCCAACTTGTGAGCACTAAGGTGATATCCCTGTATTAGGGGCCAGCAGGTGTGAGGGGAGTGGGGTTTATTGATGTTCTCGCTTCCTCTTCCCACTGGGATGATTTGGGATGTATGGCCCCTCTCTGGGGCTGGCTGGCTGAGCCCAGGCCTTGGGGGCTCTTAGAAACTGCAATTCTTCACAAGGAGCTGAGGGCTGTTCTAATTGTTGATGTGTTCAAGGGGTCCTATCAACTGATACCAAAAGCAAGTAGAAAACTGAAGAGAAATACTAGCCTATTCATAAACACTCTGCAGATGCCAGGCTTTCCCATCCACGGTGCTTTGCTTTACTGTCTCCTGAAACCTGTTCTATATGTTCTATGTCCTTGAATATCCTTCTGTGATTTCCTTAGGGTCAGAAAGTGGAGAGGATACCACTGCTAACCTCCCAAAAAGGAGTCTTAACAATCTTCTACAGGCAGTTTAGGGTCATAGGATCTCATCACAGTGATTGAAATCTTACTTTCAAACACACTGTGGGATCTTTGGAGGATGATAGCAGCAGCATCTGTGCAGAATATCTGCTATAATTCCCACTTCTACTAAAATGGCCTTTATTGCAGCTCCACATGAACACTGTATAAACCTGCAATAACGTAACTATAACTAGATACCTACTGAGGCCTGCAGACAACAGGAGGGCGCACAGACAGTGATTTCACCTGCGAAGAGCACTGGTATTTATCTTATTGTCTTAGCACCAGACAACTTGATACCACACACAGTCAGAAGGAGAAAATGAGGGACTTCACCCTTTGCAAAACTGGAAGGTGTCTGCTGGCAAGAAATAGACATTAATCATCAAACAGTGCTGTGGTTTGTAACCTTTTTGCTCACCTCTGATCCCAGGCTGACCAAATGGCCAGAGGAGCCTTTTTGACCTGATGGAGCAGTTTCAGAGGTAAATTCTACAGAGGAGCAGCCTGCAAAGCACCTAGGTGATTCCCTGCCAGTCCTGGGGAAACACCTCACGCCCATACAGACTGCGCAAGAGCTGCTGTGCCACCTGCTCTACCTCACATGCTGTCTAATAACTGGGAAACATGAACCATAAGCTTTTGTATATGCACAACAGGCATTTTGTAGAGACTTACTGGAATTTCGAATATAGCTAACCCACATTCTCTATGACATATACCAAGACCCTTAATCTCTAGTCTAGCATTTAACTTTCAGCCTCTTTTGGACCATATGAGCCCCATCATCTGCAGGAAAAGTCATCAGGACATGTTTGATGGATGCTCAATGCCAGCTGCATTTCATTTGTAGTAATCTCACAAGAAGGGCACATGAGAGCAGAGACAGAGCCCAGAAATATAAATCCAAAAGGTTTTTAGCTGTGTTCAACTACAAGAGTTGGAAACAGGTGGTTGAAAATGGTTTCTCAGTAGCCTAATCACCCTCACAGATTGTCCTTCTTTCTCCTTACTTTATGGCCTCTTTTGATGATTAAGGGTCACCCAAAGCTCCTATATATACATATATTTTTTATATATATAATACATGCGAAGAAGTACAAACTGCTCTAACAAGGTTTGTACTCAGCCTTTGATGCCTTCTTAAAAAAAAAAGAAAAAAGCCCCTTGTGAAAGCATCGCTGATGGCTCTCAGGCTCTTGCTCTGACTGTGTGTTTCCATTCAGCCTTATATGACACTCCCACTTTTGATAATTCCATAGCCATTGATTACAGCAAAAGAAGGGCTCATGGTAATTTTTTTTAATTATTTGGCTCTTTGAGAGATGAGCTCTGCCTTCCTGCCTGCCCTTAGCCAGGTACATCTCTGTACCTCATCTGCAAGGCACACTGCATTCTCCAAATTGTTTCTTTATGTGAGATTTCCTCCTTTGAGAAACATGTCCCTGTTTGAGTAGCGGGGTTGGTCTAGATGATCTCTAGAGGTCCCTTCCAACCTTAACTGCACAGAATCATAGAATGGTTGTCTTGAAGTCTGTGTAAAGCAAGGTTGTTTGGCATCATTGCCAAGCTGTTGTGAAGGCTGTATTTCTCGGTGGAGATTCAGGAAGATCAATTTGTCAAATTCTTCTGGCATTTTTCAGCTGCTTTGTCGCATGTGGTCATTTCTCTGACAATCCAATGCTAAGCCTTCATCCTGAAATGCTGCTTACAGGAAATTCATTATTTAACAAGGAAGTTTTAAAGAAAGGTCTGGGCTTTCATGTGCCACAATCAACAGTATTTTTTTTTCCAGACAACATATTTCTCTCCTGCATGTCCTAAGCTCATCTGAAGAGAGCTTCAAAGGGAAGACACTCCAGGGAGTTTTCCTGACGTGGCTTGTCTGAACTGCCAGCACCTGCTCTGCACTTCCAGATCCCAGAGCTCAGAAGCAGAGCTTCTCCATGCCCATGTCACAGTGTTCATCCTTCATCATGACATGTAGGGTTCCTTGACCACTTCTCCCAGATGGAGCCATGTGGCACCTGGATGTGTTAAACTGTTAAGTATGTTAAAGGCTCCTACTCAGGAGTCTAAAGTGCTCAACATTAATGAAGGAGGAGTTCGGGGCCAAAGTAGTGAGGAGTCTGCTCGTACCTGGTTGAGTCTTTTTGTTGCTCTCTTTTGCTCTTGGGTTTGAGGATAACATTGCAAATTGTCTAGAAATGGCATGTCTTCATGACTGAGAAGTGAGAACTAGACAAAGTCATCAAGGCCCCTGGTCCTTTCAAAGAACAGTAATTTCCAGAATCATAAAATACTGGTTTAAGAAAAAAATCTGAAATAAGAAAAGGAAAAGCAATGGTAGCTCCAGTTACAGAAACTCAGCTTTGCTTGTCTGATTTCTCACGATAAATCATAAATGCTTTTAAAAGCAAACAAGAGCTTAGCGTTTGACATGCCCTAGGAATGAATGTCACAGCCCTGCTGGCTCTGCTTTCACAGGACTGCTATGCAAAGCAACCTCCCCGTGCAAAAGAGATGGCAAAGCAGAGCAATAAATGTGATCCAGGTCAGGACTGCTGCCTCACACATACACCACGGTTAAAGAAACTGCTACTAAGGTATTAAAGTAGATGATGATTATTGTATCTTAGCCACCCTCCCCAATCCTGCCTTGCATAAGTGAGGGCTCAGGGTGCAGATATTGCTCCTGGGGGCTGAGAAAGCAGCACCATTGCTATTGCCATTGCAGAGGGACAACTAGGGTGCACTTGGGCTGTTACATGAGTGTCATGTGCTCAGCCCTTGCCCGCTGAATGTCACGCCTATGTATTTGCTGTTGCATACTCAGGGCTCTATTGCAGAGTGAGGCCACTAAATCTTTAGGCCAGGTTAGGGTGGAAATCAGCTGTGTCTGTGTATCCAGCACACAGTGCAGGTGAAGTCAAACCTTTCCAAGGGCATGCCATGTAAGCCTCTTTTAAGACAGCATTTTCTAAGCTCTTCCCACTTGTATGCCACCAAAGAAGTCCTAGTAGCTTACTGTCTTTGGATGGTATAAGGGAGGTGGTGGGACAGGTGGTGATGGGCAGGAAAGACCTTTCTTTCCTCCTCCCGAGCTACCACTCAGTGAGCAACTTCTCTGTTATCTTTAGGTCTTCACCCCGCATTGGGATTTGTCTGTGATTAGACTTGTGACCATTTAACGTAGAGCATCCTTTCAACGTGATTCTCTTCAACCTGGAAGAAGGTGCAGTGAGCATTCTCATCTCTGTATCAGACCTCTTTTGGGTTACCTGAAAATATTATGAAGAAATTTAAGCTAAGTTGGCACTAACCATGCCAAAAAAAAAAAAAAAAAAAGCATTAGTCAAATTGATTTAAACAACTCATTTAACTCTATGCTAGCAGAAATCTAAATCCAACTAAATGAGAATTTTAAAGAATATTTCACAGCAGAGAAAAATAAGAGCAACATATCTTGGTGACCTTCAAATGGATGTATATCTTGGAAGCATTCTACAATCTAGAAGTCTGTAAATTGAGCCTTAGTATTACGGTGTCACATGTTGTGCTCCTATAATTAAAGGTCTGTCAGCATTTCTATTGTAAAGTCAGTTTTTAGGGGCTTATAACTTTTCTTAAGAGAGTGAACAGCAATGACCTTTTTCTGCATTCTAAGCAGGTTTTAAGGTCATTATGTGAGTGTTAACGTTCCGTTACAGTATATTGTAATGAAATGAGTCTTTCAGAGTAACAGCATTTCACAATATTGGCAAAAATGGGCATATTCATCTTAATTTTCTCATCTACTTAATTTCAGGAGCTTTTATAATTAAATATTTGGTTGCACCAGCAAATAAAGGCATCTCTTGTCATCGTGAAAACAGTCTCATCCTATCTTCACATTCTCTCTGTGCTACGGAGGAATGAAAATAGCTTTTTGGGGAACATGCCCTTAACAAGTCAATGGTGATTCTTCCATACTGGAGGAGCAGATGGGTGCTATTTTCTCTATTTTTCCCTCAGAATACCCTCCAAGGCATTGGAATCGGCTCCTCAGCCACTATCCAGCAATCACCTCCCTGAGAACTGTGCGCTTTCCAAGATAATTGCATGTTTTCCTCCACTGCTGGATAGAGTTCTGCTGTGGCACCAAATGTAGCCACCAAGAAACTGCAGTTTTCAACCATTCCATTTTAGATTCCCCTTTCCTAAATTTCTTAATCCCCACTAACAGAGAGAAATCTCCAGTGGATCAGAGGATTTCCTGCTTTAGTATAATGCAAGCGCAGAACAGTTTCACAAGCAAAAGAGATAGAGCTCTGACTTCAAAAAACAAGAGAAATTCAGAGTTGGAAAATCAAAGGAATTAGAGAAGTGGTCTTGAAGCTAGCACTGTAACGCATTAACAATAAGCTCCTGCCGTACCCCACCAGGGCCAGGTCCGTGAGATACCATCAGCTGATGGGGCTGTCATCAACCTCTTCTTGCAGGACCATTGCCCCTGCAGCTGTGCTTCATCTACGCTCTGAACCGAGAGATCCCATCCTGAAGCGACCCATGTGCTTGGCCCTCACCATTTGAGTTTTCAGTATTTCCCATACATACCTATACAGGAACAGAGGAAATGTTGTAAATATTATGGCAGGACATGCATTCCAAAGTTTTAAGAGAAGCTGGTTTTACTAGTTTTACCAAGAAAAGTTTGGCATACTTTGAATTTTCTTCAAGATAGAGCATTTCCTGGAAAATCAAGAGTTCTATAGACATAGATCAGCTGGAAGTAGGCAGAGAAATATTGCTTTTCCAGTGATTAAGGAAAAACTGTTAGGCTAAGACTAAATCACTGAACAAAACTTCTTTTCATCTCCAGTCCTGCAGCCACTGTATTTGTGTGCATAGTGCCTCTGAGGTCAGAGTGCAGATTTGCCAGACAAGGGTTAGCAAGCGGCTCGTGACAATTAGAATTTTTTCCAAGGAAACCAGGAGAAAAGCTGTTCCTGAGCCCTCCCGTTCGTTGCCTCCTGCAGCCCCACACTTCCTCCCTTGAGCATCCTTTCTCTCGGTGACTAGCTAGTTGGGTGTTACTCCAGACAGAGGAAAAATGATCTCAGCTCTAGGGAGGGATCACCTTGGCCGACAGAGAGAAGGAAATAAAGAAGTTTAGAGTTGAATAAAGAAGTTTACAGTTGAATTCACTAGACCCACGAGTGTAGGAGTGCTCGCTCAGGAGGCAGTCCTGTCTGGTTTTGTAAAAGCTTGTGTTAATGTCCTAGGCCTGGCCAAGGAGCATTACAAAGCACTGGCCTTCAGATATTAGTGAGAGTTCACATGGTTAACTGAAATATTTCTGCTTCTACAGCTTTAGTTCATTTGGTGTAGTTCAAAAGCCTCTGATAATAAGACCTAATTTATAATTAGGCCTTATCTCTAATCAGTTAATTTATAGAACCCTAATTCTCAAGGAGGTATTTCAGAGGCTGTGCTTATTATATCACGGAACTGTTGCCCATAGACAACCAATTCACAATGATAGAATGGAAAAAAAAATCCTAAGTAATCCTACCAGAAAACGTCCATAATTTATTTACTTCAAATTTCATGCAGTAGCTCTAATACAGCTTATCATTTATGCAAGGAGCCAGGGACAGGGGTACTTCATGCAAATATGTCAGGAATAACCTATCAATAACACGTGGATTCAATCAGCTCCTGGGCATTTCCAGAGGTCTGCTATATGCCAGGAAGGAAACCCTACATGAGGGGAGGGAAGATGGTGTGGGACTAGATGTGGACCACAGGGCTGGATGGGGATGTGGGAGTTTGCTGCAGGATACCTGGTATTTGCCACCTGACCCTGACAGTGGCCATGTGGAGCTGTAGCACCTTAAATACTGAATTGCTTTTTCTTCCTCTTCCAGCCCCTTCTGCCTGAATGTGGCCACCTTTGTCTTTCTGCTCTACCCTTCCTGGTCCTACTGAGTGACGTAGCCTTTAGATGGATTTTCTCCTGTTGTCGAAGCCATGTCACTAACATGGCTCAGCTCAGAACAGAAGGGATACAAAGACCTAGCCCTGGTCCTCACAGGGGCCTAGTGAGTCCACGTTGTTGCCTTGCAGTCTAATGCTCTCCTCGGTTTGCTGTCATTTCTCCAGTGCGTAAGCCCTCTGAGAGCTTCTAGCCAACCAGTTTCAATTAAATTTCAATTAACATATCTGAGCAGAATGCTGTATGCTCTGAAGTCTCTAGGAGAGCTGGATTAAAGAACAAACATGAGCAGCTCATCCCTGAGGCACTTGCTTCTGGGATTCTGTGGTCATATCAAAATCCCATTTTGCTCTGTAAGAAATAGTAGTTCCAACACCAGTGGCCTAGACGAGGCTTATGAGACCAGAGCTGGTGTAATGACCATGGTATGTGTCAAAGCCAGGTGAGCAGATTTGGATGGGAATCATGAAAGGCTTTACCAGTCCACTGGAGGCATCTTGGCCTACACCACTGAAGAACAGCCCCACGCAGCAGAGTACACCCAGCACATGCCAGGCAACCCTCCCCTCTGTGCAATGGGACATGGGAGGAGGAGGAGGAAGGTAGATGTCAGGCTGAAGAGCAGAGCAGTGCATTGGATTTCCACCCTGGAGTCCCATCATTATTTATGAATTAATCTATTAAGAAAACTTGGAGTCGAGGATTCCAGCAGAGTCTCTCCAGGAGAGTTCAATACATACGCTTCCCCAGTCTCAAGGTGGGATTTCCTCTGAAGGGCTTTGCACATATTCACTAACAATGGAGAGAAGTTTGTAATGCCCCTCATGTCTTGGACACAGACCATCTCTCTTGGACACTTAGGCTTAAGCTGCATTCCCAGTATATCCCCTCAGCTGTGAATTCCCTTTAGCTCTTGTCTCCTGAGCACCTCCCTAATCAATCGTTTCCTGAAATTTCCTTTGTGAAGGTAGATTTTATAAGTCATTGAGGGCCTCAGTTACAAGCAGCTATGAGTTACCTTGCGTTTCATTTTTCTTTCACAGACCCTGCTTTTCCCATCATCCCGTCCCACCTCACTGGTCCATGGGACGTCTCTAATCTCTGCATGTGCGAGGGCAGTGCAGCTCATGCTGTTGTTTCCAACTTGTGCCTCTTCCCTTTGAACTTCACCGCTCCTTGTTTTGATCCCTCCCACACGCAAGTCCTCTTCTCAGACAGGTTTTCCTTTATCCTCAAATCTATGAGACGCCTTTTCCTGATGCCAAATCAGCCAATTCTCCTTCCTTCTAATTGCAGAGGAGCTGCAGTCTGTTGTGCTTTAATTAAAGTGTATTAGTAGTGGCACGTTATTGATTTACTATACATTTGCATTAGCTGAGTACTTTCCACTCTTATCTGATGGGCAAAGGATTGATACAGTGCACCGAAGCTCCCTTGATGAAATACAAATGAGCGATGCAGGCGGCCCACCTGGGTAGATCTGCGGGGTGCGAGCTGGAAGGCAGCAGATTCTGTTGTTGACGGCTGCAAATCTAGATCATAAAGCACTAAAAAAAAAAATATATATTTAGACTTGCAGAACTTTCCAATCAAAATCCTTCACATTTCATGCTTCTATCTTTATTTCCTTGTTCTTAGGGTATAACCATGCTTTGGTTTATGATTCCTCACACTGGGTGGAAATTGCTCAGTATAGTATAATGAACAGAAAATAGCAAACAAGTTCATCTCTTTAGAAGATATTCATGCCATGTGGAAGCTGCATTAGCAGTGTCATGCTGTATGGCCTTATGGTGATGAGGTATCCTCCAGATAAACCTATTTCTGTCCCTTTTGAGGTGATCAGGCAGCTCTTGTGTCCCAGCCGGTCACCCCATCAGCACAACAGCTTAGCCAGAGCCATCCTGGTATCACACTATGAAGAGGAGCTCAGCTTTCCTCTTTCCATCTCAGAGCCTTTGCAGAGATGGGGACATCTCAGGTAACATCTCTTCTCACCTGGTGAATGTCTAATCTCTGTCACGTGCTGTACTCAATGGCCTATTTTGGTGGCGAAAAAGGAGAAATGGCACCACACCCCATGCAGATGAGATGACTTTGGCAAAAGAAGAGGTAAAAAAGGGTCGTACTGTTGTGATGTCAATTGTCTGTTGTCCAAAAGTGGGTTAGGACATGCAGGGCACTAAGCTTCCAACGTAGCCCTGCTGTGGGCTAGAGGCAAGTCTCTGGTCCAGCTCTGGCAGGGCACTTCTGCCCCTTTCCTGGCTTGCCTGGCCAATCTTTAATCTCATTAGCTCAGCACAGATACTATCAATCCTTGTGCATCAGGTTCTGTGTCTGGCACTTCCGTGTCCTCTGCTTTAGCTTGAACCTTTCCATGCAGTCCCATGCAGATGATATCTTAGCGACAGCTTTCGCGTCGCTGGAGCAGGTATCGGGGCCAAGTAGTCCATGTGGGCAACCTGGCCTCAGCGGAGCCACTTTGCTCTCACTTGCTGCAGCAGAAGCACTTGAAGAGCCCTTATAAAGGGTTTGTTGGTCCCTTTGATTGCCTTGTTATAGAGAGCAGGTATTTTGCAACAGCAGCAATCACACCAGGCACACTGGCTTGTCTTCAGTGTCCAACAGTTTAACTCCTAGATGTCTCAAATATTTGAACTTTTCTCTATTTCTGGCTCTTCTGAGCACCTAGGTGATGGTATGAGGATTATTGCAAGTACCAAGAGTGATACCACATCTCCCTACAAATACAGAATCTGGAATTGCCCTTGAACAGGTTTGCAAAGACACTTCCCTGAGAAGTAGCCATACCCAGAGTATTGTGTTTTGCCTTTACTTTCTTACAGAACTGACTGGAATTTGTGTTCTAAAAAGCAAATGCATCAAGATCAAAACATTCCATAGCGCTGTATAATTTTCAATAAATATTCAGATTTTCACAAAATATTTGAATAAAGGCAAACCTAATTTTTATGTCCGTAATTAATAATCACAGACAACAACATTTTTCATCTTTTTGTCCAGTATTTTTTCATTTTCTTTTTAGAAGAACTTTTCATTTATAGACTTATTTTATGCTACAAGTTGTAATCCAGTGTTCATTAATAAATACACCTTATGAAACAGAGAATAGGCTAGAAATATAGTCCCTGAAATAATAGTACACAAAAAAAAATCAGAAATCTAAAAGAAGCAATGCTGAAAGTGTTTTGAGATTCCAGATTATTTTACTGAATTATTTTTTCCTGGTCGTTTTTCCACTCTTAAAATACTGAAAGGCATTTTACAGGGGAAGTTTAGTTTTCTGCCCTGCTCTACTAATTATGTTTCCCTATACACCTAAAGCATTCAAATTTAATTTTAGGTAGTACACTTCAAATTCAGGAAACCAAAGAATATTTGTATAATTCTCCAACAAGAAAACAAAAGTGCAACACTGCATTCTGTAACTGCAGGGTCCTGGCCGTAGCAAGGCTGGAATACCTGTGGCTCGAAAGGCAGGGTGCACGTGAACCAGACCAGCTGCACCCCTGCCAGGGCTGCCTGCGGCCTGCTGGGTTCTGCTCAGAGCATCCTGCTCTCAGTCCTGTAAAATACTGCGTAG